AGGATAGACATAAGAGGATCCTGTGCTTTTGTTGGTTGTTTTGAATACTAGTTTACATTATTAGTATTGTTACTGTTACTATTACTATTATTATTATATTTGTATTACCATAGCACTTAGGGGCCCCAGTCCTGGAGCAGGACTTCATTGGCTAGGCACTGCATAAACACAGAACAAAGAGTTAGTCCCTGCCCCACAGGGCTTGCCATCTCAGTATAAGACAAGAAACAACAAATGGAGACAGAAGGGGGAGTACAAGGAAACAAAGAGGCCATGTATACACTCCAGAGCGAATGCAAGCATAGCACCATAGGCTGTCTACGTTTACAGCAGAGTGTAGTAGAAAGCTGCTAGTAGAGAGTGTAGCAGAGAGTACAGGAGCTGCCAGAACCTTTCCCTGCTGCAGGAGCCTTTCTCCACTGCCTCCCCACTGCCAGAGCCTTTCCTTGCTGCCAGAGCCTTTCAAAGTGGCAGGGAAAGGCTCCGGCAGTGGGGAGGTGGTGGGAGATTACATTGCTAAAAATATGTGTAGATGTTTGAGGTACTACTTAGGCTTGTAGAGACCTGTGTAGGGTATATTGCCTAAGGTTCAAGCATGTGTAAGCGGGGGAATAGTCTCGCTCTTGTGGGGAACTTTCCTGGCTTCTGCACTACCCCGGTGAAGTGGGCTAGCGAAAGGATCAGAGTCCTCGCTCCCACTTCCTTTACCCAGTGGCCTCCCTGCCCTGGAGGACTCCCCTTCCACTCTCCTGTCTGGCAGAGTCCTCAGAACCCCAACAAGGCTGGGCCCAGGATTCCTGGGGGCTCGACCTCCAACCCTGCTGTGGTCACCTAGGACAGGGGCTTGGGTGTCCCCACTCCGGGGTACTCTCTCTGCACTGGTCACTTCTCGGACCCACTGACCATTCCATACAAGTTAAAGCAAATGCAAGTTATTTAATCAACAATTAATTTTAAAAAGAATAAGGAAAAATGGGAAAGGTTAAAGGAAACACATCAACCCGCTCTGTGGCAGGGAACATCACAAACAGTGTCTCTGGAATGTCAGGGCAGTTCACAGTCTGTTCCTTGTAAGTCCCAGGCCTTCTTCTCAGGCCCTGGCTGTGCTGTAGGGATGCTGTGGGTTGGACACTTGCTCTGGTGGTGGCCACACTCTCTCAGGCTCTAAGTGGTAGGACCCTTCTTCCCAGTGTCGCCCCCGCCCTGTCGGGGTTACGATCCAAGCCTGGCCTGCAGAGCCTCTTGGCTGAGGCGTCTGCCTGTGCTGGGCCCACTGCCCAGGGTCCCCCTCGCTCTCCCCTGCTGCTCACTGCACCCAGCTCTGGACTGCTCCAGCCCCAGCTCCACCACTCTGGCCCCTCTGGCTCTGGTTGCTGCAGCTCTGCTCCCAGGACAGGTCTGCTCTGCAGGCTGCTTCTGTGAGTCTGCTCCTAGCACTGACCTGCTTCCTGGGCCGCTTTTCTGGCCCCTCTGGCTCTGGTTGCTGCAGCTCTGCTCCCAGGACAAGGTCTGCTCTCTCTGGGCTGCTTTTCTGGTCTCTCTGGATCTGGCACAGCTCTGCTCCCCAGCTTAGCCTGGGCCCCTGCTTTCTCCTTATTTCGGCCCCACTCTGTCTGACCCAGGCAAATCCAGCTCACTTGGAGGATGGGATCTCCCTGGCCTCCTGACTCTCTGATTAGCCTGCCCATCGTGTCATTCAGGCTGACCTGGAGCATTGGCCTCTCCCCATTGTTCCTGGGGACTATCAGTCTCAGGGTCCTGATTTCCCATAGACCCTTCCCCTTTTAGTACTGGGAACTAGCCAACCAAAACGCCCCCACTGAATGTTAGTAAGTGGTCAACAGTCCCCTTACACATGTAGGGCACTCTACTTATCTATTCTAAGCCATGCCCCAGCATCTATACTGTTATTTATACCCATGCAAGGTGGACATGCAATGTCTGTACTCTACACTCCATCATAAGTCTAGAGTTACCTTCAGTATAAGGCAGAAGTGGGCAAACTACGGCCCGCTGGCTACATCCGGCCCGCAGGACTGTTCTGCCTGGCCCTTGAGCTCCCAGTCAGGACAGCTAGCCCCCAGCCCCTCCCCTGCTGTCCTCCCTCCCCCGCAGCCTCAGCTCCCTGCACCGCCAGCACTGTGGCCCACAGCTCCTGCCAGGGAGAGTGGCGGCATGGCTGCAAGCTCCTGCTGCTCTGAGCGGCATGGTAAGGGGGCAGGGGGCGGGGGGGAGGGGTTGGATAAGGGGCAGGAGGTTCCGGGGGGCAGTCAGGGGACAGTTGTACAGGGCGGTCAGGGGATGGGGAACGGGGGTGGGGGTTTGGATAGGGGGTGGAGTCCCAGGGGACAGAGAGTAGGGGGTGGAGACCCGGGTGACCTATCAGCGGGCGGGGGTGTTGATGGGGTCGGGGCAATCAGGGGACAGGGAGCAGGAGGGGTTGGATGGGGGTGGGGTCCCAGGGGGTGGTTAGGGGCAGGGGTCCTGGGAGGGGGCGGTCAGGGGACAAGGAGCGGGGGGGTTGGATGGGTTGGGGGTTCTGAGGGGGCAGTCAGGAAGTGGGAGGGGGTGGGGGCCAGGCTGTTTGGGGAGGCACAGCCTTCCCTTCCCGGCCCTCCATACAGTTTCGCAACCCCGATGTGGCGCTCAGGCCAGAAAGTTTGCCCACCCCTTGTATAAGGTAAGAAACAGCAGATGGAGACAAAGGGGGTACAAGGAAACAATGAGGCCATATCCACACTCCAGAGCCTATGCCGGCGTAACCCTGTATTGTAGATACTTGTCTGCTGACAGAAGTTTTTCTATCAGTATGGTAATACCACCTCCCCAAATAACATTAGCTATGCTGACAGAAGCGCTCTTCTTTCAGCATAGTTGTGTCTACACCTGGGCTTTTTCAGCATAGCAATGTTGACTGGAGGGTGTGATTTCCCTGTGCCACCCACGCCTGCAATCCTTGTGATGTAGCTATGTCAGCATAACTTAGTAGTGTAGATCAGGTCTGAGACAGTATTGGTCAGCATGATAGGCAGTTGTGTCAATATGCCAGCAGTCTAACTGTTGTCAAATTTTTGGTAGGCAAACATAATGATAGTTACTTAAGGTGTTGAACTCCATTAGTTTAATTTCATTAACCTTCTTCAGCAAAATACTTTCCATGGTCTGTTTTTATTTAAAAAAACAAACAAAGCAGAGATCCTGTACTATGCTACTGGTGTACAATCAAGTGTATTAACAGAACCAATAAAGTACAAGAGATATCTCACCATACAATTCCATACAGTGGTATTGTAACATCTGTGGATGTTACAGTTCAAGTGTTAAGAAAGTAATTGAATTTGTAAATTCCAAATGATCTCTGTCCTTTATATAATTGGACTATAAATAACGTTGTCAACAAAAATAATATAAAGTAGTTTTGATAGTGTTGTTATCCAATGCCAAACATTTTTTAAAACCTTGGGGTTTTTTTTTTGTTTCACTGGTCTAGAATCCTAAATGGATATTATCTGGCCAATGTATATAGCTGTTACTAGCATAGCACGTTACATTCTTCTGGGAGGTCATGTACGTTCTGTATTGGGTACAGTTGATTTATTTTGAAATCACAAGGCTGTATCTATAATCAGAAGAAGATTTAAATGAAAATAAGGTATAGCTGTTTCCCATCTTACCTTACTGATCACACCATTATTAAGCATTTTTGAGGAATACATTTTCATTATATTGTGCTTATAAGGCTGGTTGATGTGTGACCATTTCTGCTAGGTTTTGAAAACCATGAACATATAGTTCATTACTGAATACTGAAAGTGCAAGATTGCATTTTATGAAGCTGTCTTTTATTAATACATTGAATGCAGTATGGTGGTAATCTCACTGTGTGTGTTGCTACAGCATCTTGTATGAATATTTACTTAGAAACATGTGAAAGAAAAAACTTAACAAATCAGTGTTCAGACAAAAAATCTGCTTGAATGTAATTTGAATTCTGAATGTTATGGTCGCAATTTATATTTATGTGCTGATGTATTGGAACAGACAGGTATACAATACATTTTGTCAATGTATATTTTTAATTTGGGGTCTTCAAAGCTGAATGAACAATGAAATGGTTCAGAAATTTGTTTAGAAATTAAGGGATTGCTTTACAGTAGAGTTGATAAGTGAAAATAGTTTATGCTTTCTGTATCACATACTTGGGGGGTTGTATTCAGTTCTTACATGAGATGGTTCAAAGAGGGTTTGGGGGGGGGCAGTCCCCCATTGTGAGCCTGTTTTCCCAGGAGTGTCAGTACACAGGCTCCTAAAGAATTATCTGAGGTTTTATAGATCAGAAGGTAACAATTACTCTATTGATTTTCAAAAGCAATGGAATCCTGTAGGCAGAACCCCCGTTAGGATCTGCCTGTAAGGGAACTGCAGCTTTTCACTGGTGTGCTTGTTAAAGATTACCAGTCTTGATAATACTGAATTTCAAAAGCTGGCACTTCTAAATAAAAGAATAAATGAAAATGGCAACAATAGCACAGTGACTGTGGTCTGCTATTGTTCTTGCTTTTTGTAGCCCACACATCAAAGGGAATTTTCTACTAGGAGTGGTTTTGGGTGCACTGCAGCTGAATTGTATATTGCATTTCAGCTTCAGGCTACAAAAACAACCAGGGATTGAAGTCTATTCAACAGTAGGATGTAAAACCTACCTCTTGGAAGGCTTCTTTGGATTCTTGTTAAGAATTCTCATGAAAATGTTGTTTGTTATAATTAGAAACAACACTTTCAGCTTCCCCTGTGCTGGGAAATTACTTGTGTGTTTCCTAAACTGGCTCTAGTGAATTCAAGATCTTAAACTGGAAAAAGAGAGACAAACCTAGTTGTCTAGTTATGTCTTATCAACCGATGGTAGAATGCTGTGCTCAACTAATTTACTGTTAAAGATTTTTTTTCAGTATCTTAACACACTGTATTTTCTCTTGCTCTTTTTATTCTTTTAATACTAGAATATGAATCCCCCCCTTCCGCCACCACCTCTTTTGTCTGCCACAATCATTGCTTCAACATCTTCAGGGCTGCCTTCTCCAGGAGTAATACAAAGGCCTGCATCAGGATCAACTGACCAAACAGCACATTTACGGCCACAGTCTCGACCAAGTGTGTAAGTGAAATTGAAATGTGTTACCAGTTGTCAGTTTGGGAAGTGGGCAGAAGGGAGGTGTGAAGGGAAGGGGAAAGAGGAGAAGAAAATACAGTAAGACAGGTCATGTCAGATATAAATTGGTACATGTTCATGACTCACCAGCTGGCCTGAGTCCTGCTAAAATTCCCAGAAAGCAGTGCTTATAATTAGAAAACAAAAGCAACACAGTGGAGTTGATACGTGATCTCCCCTAACAGTCTTCATGCTGAAAGCTATTTATAGCATAGGTAAATATAATAGCATGCTGCTGCATTATATTATGTGAATAAAGTACAAATATATGGAATATTCATCATGTAGAGAGGGAATGTACTTTTCTTTTCCTTGAGTTAGGGATGAGGACTATCTAATTAACAAGTGGCAATGTCCTGAGTGAGTTCCTTCAGTGTCATCTACTATAAAAGGAATCAAAAGACCATCCCCATGTAGAATAATTTATGCTAGGACACAGAAAGCGTTGTATCTTGTTTGGCATGTTATATTAGCATCTCATTGTCAGGCTGCCTGTGCAGGTTGCAAGTGCAGTTCGACTGAGGATTCTACAGTTAAGTTAATTAGTGGATGGCAGTTTGGAATGAAGACAGAAAGCTGCTAGCTAGTGTTATGTCCTCACTCTTGTAATACAAGCAAATGGGAGTAATATTGCCAGGTGAAAAATATTTAATATATAACCTGTGGTCCTGACAGCATTTCTCTTCCTGAAAATTACATTGTATGAACAATCTGGGAAAGTAGATTATGTAGGTGGGGGACTGCACAAATTGCTGGACAGGTGGAAGCAGTAAATGTTTGATATAGGAGGGAAGGGGACAAAAATACCCGCTTCCTTTAATCAGTGCACCTAGGACCAATTTTGCCCACACTGACAACATTTTGTAAAGCCTCTTTTTCTCTTTCCCCTCTTTTTCCTACCCCTGAGAATGAGAGTGGAAAGATTTGTTGACTTCCCAGCCAGTGTATGCAGTGATGGGCCCTTTTTCAAAAGGGGGCTTTTGTATTTTTGAAAAATGCTATAACTTATTTGTAGATGTTATTTCCCAGGGGTCTGATATAAACACATCTATTTTAAAGTAAAAAACAAAAACAAAAAAAGCTTGCTCTTCATTTTATCCTGGTGCAGAGTGTAGAAGAAAGGTGGTGAGCAGACGGTTTCTCCCACTCTAAAGTGGCAATTAGAAATCCTACACTACTGGGAAATGTCCCTAATAATATCTAGTACAGAACTGTAGAAGTATCTGTTTTATTTTTATTTTTGAAAAGCTAAGTTTGGAAGTTGTTAAATATATCTTTTAAAAAAGAAACAGAACAGGAGAGGACAAAACTTATACTCCTCCCTACTTCTTCCCCCAGTCATGATTCCAGAGTTACTACATTAAGCTGTAGCTTCTTAGGAGGAAAACAAGTGGGTTTTAAAAGTGAAACAGCAGCTACTCTGTTTGTAGGCATCAGTTTCCAGCAACATAGCACATCTCCCTCCAGCACTTCAGTTGCACTGTAGGGACCCAGTTCTCTGATTTAAAAAGAAAAAGTTGAATCAGAAGTATTTTGTTTATTTCTGAATCTGGTCTTTCATTCCCAAGTATAAATACTCATGGAAAGGAAAAGAAGTGGTGGGGGAAGGCATGGAGAAGGATTTAATGGCTAGGGAAACCCAGAAAAAGAAACTACAGTAAATAACAAAATTTACAGTTAGTATTTTCAGTTAATTTCTAATGTACAGTAATTTTAATAACATACACTAACAAGGAACACACAATAACTGATTAAAAATTTAACATAATATTTTTCCCTTAATAGCGCTGTTTTTTATAGTTGCTACAAGATGCTGGTGGTGTGTCATTAGATGGCCTGAGCACTTCTTGGGGTTATGATATCCCAGCACCTGTCATGCTGTAGTCTTTAATTGTTGCCCTTCACTTTGAACTCTTACCCAGTCAGGAAAGTAGAAGAAAGTGATTGTGTACCTTTTTATGTTTAAACTAAGGCTGTGAAACAATTAAAAACATTAATTGTGAGATTAAAAAAACATAGAAATCACAGTTTTAATCACACTGTTAAATAATAATACAGTAGCATTTATTTAAATATTTTGGGGTATTTTCTACATTTTCCAATGTATTTATTTCAATTACAATACAGAATACAAAGTCTACAATGCTCACTTTGTATTATTATTTTTTATTACAAATATTTGCGCTGTAAAAAAGATAAAAGAAATAGTATTTTTCAATTCACCTCATACAAGTACTGTAGTGCAATCTCTTTATCATGGAAATGCAACTTACAAATGTATGTTTTTGTTGTTACATAATTACATTAAAAAACAAAACAGTGTAAAACTTTAGAGCCTACAAGTCCACTCAGTCCTACTTTTCAGCCAATTGCTCAGACAAACAAGTTTGTTTACATTTATGGGTGAGAATGCTGCCCACTTCTTGTTTACAGTGTCACCTGAAAGTGAAAACTGGCATTCACATGGCACTTTTGTAGTTGGTGTTGCAAGGTATTTACATTTCAGATATGCTAAACATTTGTATCCCTCTTTATGCTTCGACCACCATTCCAAAGGACGTGCTTCCATGCTGATGATGCTTGTTAAAAAAATAATGCATTAATTAAATTTGTGACTGAGCTCCTTGGGGGGAGAATTGTATGTGTCCTGCTCTGTTTTATCCACATACTGCCATATATTTCATGTTCCGCTCGATAATGATCCAAAGCAGTGTGGACTGACGCACATCCATTTTCGTCATCTGGGTCAGATGCCACCAACAGAAGGTTGATTTTCTTTTTTGGTGGTTCGGATTCTGGAGTTTCTGCATCGGAGTATTGCTCTGTTAAGACTTCTGAAAGCATTTTCCATACCTCGCCCCTCTCAGATTTTGGAAGGCACTTCAAATTCTTAAATCTTGGGTCAAGTGCTATAGCTATCTTTAGAAATCTCACATTGGTTCTTTCCTTGTGTTATGTCAAATCTGCAGTGAAAGTGTTCTTAAAATGAACATGTGCTGGGTCGTCATCCGAGACTGCCATAACACAAAATATATGGAAGAATGCGGATACAACCACAGAACATTCTCCCCACATACACATACAATTCTCCCACAAGGAGTTCAGTCACAAATGTAAGATCCTGCCCATAAGCCTTGGGTACTTCAGCCAGCCTAGCAACAAGGACCTCTGGTTCTACTTTAATGTGCCTGGATGAGCCATAGACTGGTATGGGACTTGGCATATGTACAAGCATGTCAAGACTAAGTTCTATGTGTGGCCCAACAATCTGGAATGGTGGCCGAAGCATGAAGGGGCATATGAATGTTTAGCATATTTGGCCCGTAAATACCATGCAACACCAACTACAAAAGTGCCATGCGAACAAATGCCCGTTCTCACTTTCAGGTGACATTGTAAATAAGAAGCGGGCAGCATTATCTCCTATAAAGGTAAACAAACTTGTTTGTCTAAGCGATTGGCTGAAGAAGTAGGACTGAGTGGACTTGTAGGCTCTGAAGTTTTATACTGTTTTGTTTTTGAATGTGGTTATGTAACAACAAAAATCTACATTTGTAAGTTGCACAGAAATATTATTTCTTTTGTTTTATACAGTGTAAATATTGATTTTAAAAAAAGTGAGCAATGTACACTTTATATTCTGGGTTGTAATTGAAATAAATATTTTTGAAAATGTAGAAAAACATCCAAAATATTTATAATAAATTTCAGTTGATATTCTATTATTGTTTAACAGTGCGATTAAAACTGCAATTAATCACAATTAATTTTTTTAATTGAGTTAATTTGTTTTAAGTTAATTGCTTCAGTTAACTTTGATTAATTGACAGCCTTAGTTTAAACATTAGATAAACAGATTCATGTGCTTTCCTTTCTTCTAGGTATATTGCCATATATCCATACAGTCCTCGAAAAGAGGATGAACTGGAACTGCGAAAGGGGGAGATGTTTTTAGTGTTTGAACGTTGTCAAGATGGCTGGTTCAAAGGAACCTCCATGTATACAAGCAAGATTGGTGTTTTCCCTGGCAATTATGTGGCACCAGTCACAAGGTATGATTTTTTTTTTTAAGCAAATATCTGAATAGTTTACTTTTTTTCTAGTTGTTCACATTGATTTGTTTGTTATACTTAACCCTAAAACCAGCTAATGATATGAAGAGCATTGCCTTTTAGTAACTACTTATGTTTTGGGTTTTTAAAAAATAACTGAATCAAAGGACTTTTTAATTTTGGCAGGACGGTGACAAGTGCTTTGCAAGCAAAAGTCCCCATGTCTACTGCTGGCCAGACAGGACGAGTGATGACCATGGTCAGCCCTTCCACTGCTGGTGGAACATCACAGAAACTTCAGGGGAATGGCCTGACCGTCCATTCCAATGTGGTCCCAACCGCTGTGGTTTCTGCGGCACATATCCAAACTAGTCCACAAACCAAGGTTCTTATGCACATGTCGGGGCAAATGACAGTCAACCAGGCTCGCAGTGCTGTTAGAACAGGTAAAAAGAACTTGTGCTTCACACCGAACATAGTCAGTCTGTGAAATTCATTGATGCAAGAGATCAGTCAGATGATGTGGATTGATTTTTTTTTTAAGAGACAGATAATTTCCTAAACTCTAATACACCTTTCTGAAATTGCTGAGTCACTCATTTTTCTCATCTGAATGCAAGGCAGAAAAAGCTATCCAATGTAATAAAAATATTTTTGATGCTGCAAAGTCCAGGCCAGGCCCTGTCTCTCCTAAACTTCCTTGTTGAAGCTTTCATGGTACTCCAGTAGATATCTTGGGGTAGGGAGGCAAAGATGGTCTATTAAAGTGTACATATAATTTAGTGACTCTTCCTTTCCTAAGTGAGAGAAAAGACATCTGGCTCCTACCCTAGGTGCTCTTCTGTGTTTGGAGAGCTGTATCAGATTTGTGAATCATGTCTGTCTTAGCCAGGTAAGAGCGAATTTCTACAGTGTTGACTCAGTCTGCCCAAATTGCGAGAAGTGGGGAACAGGGGAATGAAGTACTAGAGGCTGTGGTTCCATGGTGTTGCAAAGAGGTCCCAATAAGCAACCTAAAAATGTCACTAGTAGCAGAAATACTAGAGCAGATTGGTATTTGAGGAGAAAGTGAACCAACCTCAAAAGTCTATCTGAACATCAAGGTCCAGAACACTGAGGGAAGGAAGCCACGCTCCACTAGGAGGACTGCACTGTGGCTAGGTTTGTTCAATCTATATGTGATTATTTCATGTAGAGCTTTGCTAGGTGCAGAGTTATTAGTCTTCCTATGAAGTTTCAGATGTTGGCCAATGCGAGTGGCAAAGTACCAGGCTTGGATTAGTTCTTCTTCAAGTGGTTGCAGATGTGTATTCCACTCAGGTGTGCAAATCTCTAGCATGCCAAGGCCAGAGAACTTTGCCTAGCAGTACCCTTAGGGGCAGCATGCATGCCTTCCGGCCCCTCGTAGCCCCTCCCGTGGCTATTTAAGGGCAGTGCCACCTTGACTCCTCTCAGTTCCTCAGTTAAGTAGGATTTAGCCTAGTTTGATGCCCTTACCAGGTTTGAAACACTGCCCATTATGTGGGGTGGCTACCCCTAATAGTGACCCCACACTCTGTCTTTGTGTTTTGCAGAAGGGCACATTAAAGAAAAGTGCCCCATTTGTAAGTCATTCAGAAAGAGAATGCAGGCTAGAGACTTGCACTTAAGCAACACCTTATGGAGCCAGGCATGAGGCCTGTTTTGGAGCAGGGTGCATCCACTGATTGTCCAGCCCCTCAGAGAACTTTGGAACCAGCACAGGTTGTTGTTCCATGGCCAGATTCTGATTCCTCTCTGAGGAGAAAGAGAAATTGTTCTCCTTTCTCTGGTCCTCTGAGTAGAAGGACTCTCAAAACAGATCAGAGCCACTCCAGAGCTTGGAGAGATTCCTTCTCATCTACTAAAAGGAGTAGAGGCTGGCACAGGGATTCCTTCAGAATACAGGACAGAGTTGGGCTATCTACCTGCTCTCTGGTACCAAGATGATTGGACACTGTATTGTTGATTCCGGCATCGTCTGTGGGACATCCATTGAATCTGGTGATGTCAGCACTGACTGTTTCCGTTCCACTGGCATATTTGGCAGCATCAGACTCACTCTGCCTTTCTGTTCCTGACTCTCCATTAATTCAGGGGGACTTAGCTGTGGTGGTTTCTTTTGTACACTCAGCACTGGCTGGATTGGTTGCAGAGTATTCCCTGTGCCAGCACTGTTTCAGTACCATTTAAAACTCAGCATGCAGAGCTGAGTTCAGCCTTTTCTTTGGTACCTAGGAGCTCATTGAGGCAGATACTGTCTTCAGTACTGACTATGTTTTCGGTGTAGACCACGCCTGACGTATTGGTACCAGCCTCAACTTCAGTACCAAAGTCCATTCCATTGCCAAGCATAAGTGCAATGCCTCAACCGGTATCTAAGATGCCAGCTACCTTAATGTTGGCACCAATGTGGCCTGCATATTGGGCTTCAGAAGAGGCTGGATGTTTGCTTGCTCCGCCTGAAGTGGCTCCTCCATTGCCACCAGGCTACTTGGAAGGTTCTTTGAGATTGAGCTTGGAGACATCTTCCACCTCTCCTTTCCCTTCCAAGTACCATTCTCAAAAATCTTTGAGACTTCCTGGGGATCACCATCGGTACTGAGATCGGCACTATTCCAGCAGTAGGGAAAGGGGCTCTTGGCTCAATTCCTACTGGCCACCAATGCCATATCCTTATCCTCAGTAGCCTCTTTGGAACCCTTGGGATGTTCCTCAATCTGCGAAGTCCTGATCATCTGCGAAGTCCAGGATAAGGTCACCAGTCCCTTTGGTAGTCTCCCTTCTTGAGTCTCCCTCTCTGCCTACTCTGCAGAGAGACTGAGGTTGCTCCCTCTGAACTAGTTCAGCCTGAACCAATTTTACAGGGGCAGGTGTTGCTGCCGGAGATCTAATTATCTTCTCTTCCTTTTTCGCCTCATGGAGTGATTCCACAATGCTGGATTCATCTTCTCCTGTGCCAGAGGATTTTAAGTCATTCAAGATCTCCTGAGGCGAATGGTTACAGCCTAGGGCATTCAGGCTGAGTTTGTTCAGGAGAACATCCATAAGTTGGTGGACCTTCTCCAGCTGTCTGTTACAGGGAGGGTATCTCTCTCGCTGTAAATGAAGTGCTTTTGGAACGTACAAAGACTTTTTGGCATATCCTAACTCCCTTGCTGCCCACAACGAAGTGTACTGATGAGAGGTATTATGTCCCTCTGCAGGGTTTCAAGTGCTTTCACTCACATTCAGTCCCTACCTCTCTTGTCATTACAGCATCAAGTGAGAGGCTGTGACAGGGGAGGTATAAGTCCATGCCTAAAGACAAAGAGGTTAGATTTAATGGGAAGGAAAATTAATTCAACCGTGTCTTTACAAATGCACATTTCTAATCAGCAAGTGCTATTATCAAAATATAATTTTGTAATTAGGAGGCTATATCCAAAATTATGGATAAGCTGCTAGAAATCCTCCAGGAAATTGTTTAAAGCTTTCATTGCAGAAGGCCATCTAGTGGCAAAGATGTCACTACAGTCAGCACTGGATGTGGTGTGTGCCACTTCTAGGATTATGGCCTCAGCTACAACAATGAGAAGAGCTTTGGCAAAGTTCCTGAGGTCCAACAAAGCATAGAGGACTTACCCTTTGAAGATCAGTTTTTTGTTTTATGAGAAAACCAATGAGTTCTCAGAGCCCTGGTCCCTGTGTTTATTCCACATATACATACGCATCTGTGCCATGCGCCCACGTCCAGAAATTCAGTAGATCTCCTCATGCTCCCTACCAAGGACATAAGAGGCAATGCGGTCCGATGCCTCGCCAGTTCCTTCTTACTGCCAGATGTCCTGAGTCAAAATCTCTGTGTCCACTGGACTATGCCCAGAGTCCTGGGGTTGAAGAATTGTATCTCTTGCGCTCACTTCTTCTCTGAGAGCAACAATCACCAATGTTACTTCTGTGGCATGGATGAGACGCATATCTCTAGTAAGTGCAGTATTTGTGTCTTGTTTCCACCAAGAACACACAAAGGTTGTGAGCTTTGTCTAAGGAAACACCTTATGAAGAAGGCTGAGGCCCCACTCTGAACTAGGCAAGGAAAACCACCCACCCCATACATAGGACCCAATAGACATGCTGTACCCTCCAAGCATGAGCTTAGGAGCAGAGTCTGTAGCTCCTAAGCACAAGGACTCTTTACCTAAGGCTTCCCATGAGAGTACAGTACACTCTCATGGTCACAAGGACAGAACCCTGTCCTGTACTGTCCACAAGAAACACAATCCCTTCATGAGCCCATCAAAGTCAGGTGAGCCTTTGTGTGTGGTTCCTAAGGGACCAGCACTGCTGAAAACCTCTAAATTGGAGGGTACAGCATGCAAAAAGAAAACTCTGATTCTGTTGGTGATGCCAGCTCCATAATACAAGGACCATCATCTGCCAGTTCTGTTTAAGAGTGAAGGTCTGGACTTGTCAGTACTGGCTCGCTCATCTAAGGACCACACTAGCTCTCAAGACATGCTGGAACCATTGGTTCTGACCATCGGAACCCCCCAACCCCACTCCAGACACTGGGACATACAGAGACATATACTACACCAAAGGATATCTTCCTGCCTTATGTGCAGTGCAGTCTCCCATCCTTTCCAGCCCGGCCCTCCTAAGGGACATTACGAGATGAGAAGATAATACTACTTCGATGTCTCAGGAACTATCTCATCTCCAACCATTGGGCAGGCATGCTCTGGTGCCAATGGCCCCACCATTGGAAGGGGAGCAGTTTTCGGGCTTGGATGAGTCAGAATTTCTGGCCACTCCTCCATCTCCTTGGAGAGAACCGAGCTCTAACAGGAAGTCAATGAGATCTGGATGCTACCCCTCCAGCTGTGACTTCCCTAGGGACCCCTGGTACCTATTTCCATGAAAATGTCACCACCATCCCAGTCAGGAGTTGCCCCTTCTCAAATCTCAGGGAGGTTGAGGGAGAATCAGACACCCCAATCTGGATTCGCTCTATCTCATGGCCTGGTGTTTGGTTGTGCATCAGAAGTAGAATGCTCTTGTTTGACACCCATTCAAGCTATCCTTTCCCAAAGTAGGAAAGGTTCAACTAGGACCTACTATCTAACCTAATGGAGATGTTTCTCTATCTAGATGCAGCGTAATGAGCCTTCTCCAGACATTGCAAATATTCTGGTCATTTTAGATGATCTCCTGTCTCTTAAAAACTCAGGCTTTTCCATTAGCTCACTGTGGGTCCATCTCACAGCGATTAGTGCCTTCCTCCCTCCAGTGGATGGATGTTCTGTCTTCACACAGACACATCCCAAAAACAGTAAGATTCATGAAGGGCCTACTCAGGACCTTTCCACCAGTGTTCAAACCTACATCTCAGCGGGACTTCAATTTCATCCTGTCAACACTCACCAGAACATTGTGTGAACGATCG